TCAAATTGGCACGGAATCTACTCAGCCAAACTGTTACGCAAATCACAGCAAAAAAGATTCACTACGCAAATTTTGATTTCCATAAGGAGCACTTTTTTTATTTACTCATCTTTTTGTAACACCTTTTTATTTTCTGCCTACTATAATTTCGCGGCAGGGTACTAAGCGAAATGCAACCACAACGTTGCTGAGATATTTGCAAAACTCTGGACCGCAGGTGTCCATGGTGGACCATAGACACCTGGGGTCCAGAGTTTTGCAAATATCTCAGCAACGTTGTGGTTGTATTTCACTCATCTTTTTGTTTCTTATGAATCCTCCCGCTAATATTCGAGGGAAGCCAAGCAGTCTTGCATGAGTGAGCAATGCTCCTAGTTAACGCGAGAAAGAGAACTGCGGACACGCATGACACCATGTGTGGTCGTTACAACGCACTCCACTTCACTTCAAAAACCAAGCCAAAGTTAAAACTGTCTTCGATGTGTTTATCGCCACTGGACGTTCAGCGTCTTTTTTTTACACTGTTATAGGTAAACTTGTTTCTCGTTGACAAAACTGTGTAGATTCCAACAGTTTCTATTTCAATCAGGAAAGTTCGTTCTAAGCTGAGATGAGCCGTCCTAAAAATGTAGGTTGTATTCAGACAATAATTTCGAAGAGACACACTTTTTTAAATACAATTAGATTTCATATTAACAAGGAAGTCTATTAAGTTGACAGGCTCAATGATTGTAGCTGTGGGCAGAGCGACCAATGGTATTAGTTATCCATTCCAAGCTAGCTTCATCTAGATGAGCATTAGTCGTCGGGTCTGATGTCTGTTCTTCGTAACCGTCCGAAATAAATGTTTAAATAACCCGTCTCTACACTTGTCGTGTGGGTCGCAAAACGCTTGCATTCGTTTTGTTGTGTAGCCGTCGTTGCCGAGTGCAGTGATTGAGTTGCCGCTTCAGCTGCCATTTAAGGTTGTACTATCTTCTCTTCTCGCAAACATGTTGAAGGTCTGCCCAGTGTTCAGTCGTCCAATCTCAAGATTCGTTGCCGTCAGCACGAATCACTGTCGTATTGGAAGGACTAAATGGCAACGCACCATGCCTTTCTAGGACACAAGGGACGCAACTGCCCACGGAAGATCCTTGCTCTCTCGGCCGTATCACACCTTTAATGGTCGCAGTTCTTCTAAGAGGAAACCTCAACGAATCGGTTGCAGAGCATCTCAATGAAAGAACGGATTATTACCTACTCGGTTTTTCAGAGCGGCTTGGTAATCTTCCGAAATTTCCGGGTTAGTTGATAATTATTGGTGGCGATCTACAATCACAGTCGCACGGTTATTTCTGTTTCCAATCTTCGATGTTACGCGGGCAATTTTCTTTTACTGATCTTAGAACGTTCCCACCACATCGTCTACTGGTCACCAATACGATAATGCCGTCACGAACGTCTCTGTGCCCGAGTTTTGCTCATGCATTGCTTTCAGTATACTGAGGAAGAGCTTCTGCTATTTTGCCACTCAGGTTCCTCCTTGAGTGTATCGGAATGGACCAATTTTTATCTCGAAGTGAACTTATTTGTCTACTGATGTTCGTGATATTTTTCACTGTATTGTTGTTAATGAATGAGATGTATGGAGGCCTATAAGGACAGGATTTGAACGCGCACTGAAGATGAATGATTTATTTAAATTTCAGGTGAAATTGGATATTCCTATACCTGAATATGACTTTAACATAACATACTTTAACATAACTTTCCTCTTCCTCATTCTTTTTGCTTTTTGTTTCTCGCTTCTTTTTCTTTTCTCTTTCTTCTTCTCCGTGCTTTCTTCTAATCTAATTTGAGTGTAAAACGATGAGCCTTTTAAGCCATTATGACTGGTCTATATCTAATCACTGGCTTGCCACAACAGTGGTTTCACAGATTCAAACAAAGTTTGCTGCAAGAATTTCTTCCAAAGCGATTTTTTCCACATTAGAGCCTATAGGAAGTCGCTGATTGCAAGTCCAAGGATGGTGATTGCAGGCTCCAAAACAACAACTAATTGCCTCACAAGATTTCCACCCTTTTTTTTGAATGTTAGGGAAAATCACAAATGCAGAAACCCATGCGCAAACCTTTAGGTAACGATAACCGTGAGTCCTCCTGAAGATCTGTTTAAACTGCTCGATCTTCAGATGGACCCGGAAATGTTACGCACAAATTAGAGGGTTGGCGATGGGGGAAAGCGATTGGCACCAATCCTTGCCATTGCCTTTATGTCTAAAGTGGAAGCACCAGTAATCGATCTCAGGCCATTACACTACTGTAGGTATATCGAGGATTGTTTTGTTATCTGCTCCACACAAGAGGAGATGGACAAAGTTCTAATTCATCATATCATTGACATCATCTCTCACTTGAATTCAAATAATTGGTGTCAATATCGACTCTCATTGAAAAATTTTTAAACCGAGAGATAACTGAATAATAATCACCTTAGCCTTTCATCATTCGGTAAAGTGGGTCAAATCAGTTGCCCTTTTAAAGGCTTTAAACATTTTTACTATCTTGATGATGCTGAGATATTTGCAAAACTCCGGACCGTAGCTGTCTGCGGTGGGGAACGAACGCGCAATTGTCCTTTCCGATGAGGAACGCGTTCAAACGCGTTCACCATCACACCACGCTGGTCCTTCGCTTTACCTGTCTCTCAACTAGTTCTATTGATCTTTTGCCATCAGCAAACACCCGTCAGCGGGATTGATCTGGGGAGCCCAAATCGGCAACGAACCCAGTTAAGCTGAGGCTGTAGTTGTAACCAGACTTTTAACTTATTATTTATTGCCTACTCTTTTTAACTGCAGGGTATATATTGTGAAATATAACTTTAATCAATGGTGAACGCGTTACTCCCCGGATGGGAGAATAGCCTGTTCATTCCCCACCGCAGACACCTGCGGTCCGGAGTTTTGCAAATATCTCAGCATCATTAAAGTTATATTTTGTAATATATACCCTGCCGTTAAAAAGAGTAGACAGTGAATAATAAGTTAAAATTGTGCTTTTTACTATTTTTATACAATCGACTTGAATCCAAGGGACGACTCCAAGGAACGCGAAAGCCCGAAACGTTAGTAACAGTAAACGGTTCCGCAACAACGTCGTGTAGGCTTACCACTACATTGAGACATTGTTTTTCTAATCAAAGACGCTTGCCTACCCACAAGAAAATCAAAGTGATAAAGCAGCCTAAAACGATAATGCGAAGCTTCTATGCCTTCCATCTCAAACTGTTCTAGCAGCGTACAATGTTAAATACAACCATAGGGGATGCTGCGACATGAGAAAAGCTCTAAACTTCTATTGGGTTTAGAGCCCGCAGTTGCTTTTATCGGGAGCTCACGTGCTTTCCGTCACACCAACCGCCTTTGCTTTGTCTTTCTCTCAGCGAGTTTCTTTTTATTACTCCAATAGTACTGGTGCGCAGTGTGGCGCAGTGGCCGGAGGCGTCCTGTGACACACACATGGAATCGATCCCCGCACCCGTAGCCCACCAAGCCTTCCATCCCTCCGGGGTCGGCAAATTGATACCAGAGTACCAGGTTTGTCTGGGAGCATAGCAGCATTGGCTGATATACGAGCACGAGTCATTGTAAAAGCCAGATATGCATTCAGTTACATCAAACGATACTTAATGAGGTTGAATGCATGGCGTACCCCTCATTGATCAGCGCAGAGGGCTTTAACGTTTATTTTAGCTCTGCTATCAGCAATCATCTGTCAGTGGCAATGGTAAAATGGAATAATGAATGGAGTAACAAATCGGTCTTTAATTCAGTTAAGGGTAATCACGAGTTCGAGATCCACCTGAGGTTCTGAGTTTTGCTCGTATCCTTAGGATTGGGTTGTATATCACACGCTGAGTTGAAGAAAGAACAAGAGTAGAAAAAAGTGTTAAACTACTCCTCTAGCAGTGTTTCACTGCTTCGATAGCTCTGAACTTGTTTTCGTTAGTTCTGTGTTCTCACAATATGCAGTCCGAGTGCAGTTTTTTCCGTCATCACTATTTCTTTTAACTATTACTTTCCGTCAATATTGCTCTCATCAACGTCATTGTATCCGAACTCGAGCGATCCAGATAGACGTTTAAGGTGGCAAATTTTCGGTTTTCCTCAGTTTTTAGTTTTTATGAAACCTCAGTTTTTCGAAAACATAGACTTCGGTTTCCAAGTTAATCTGGACACTCACTTCTAGTTAAGATGTCACTACTGACTGTGAAAAAAACATTTATAATACACAAAAAAACACTATAAAACGGCAATATTACTGACCCGTGTGAAGCTCTTTGGGAAGAACATTGATGGCATGGACTTTCTCAGTGAGGTTATTGATAAATCGACTAGTTGATGGAGTACGAGAAAATATGATTGCACGAGTTTCATAATCTTTCTAGATCATTGCTAATGCATCTCTTGAGCGCTCAAAAAACCAGGAGGTGAGAAAAATTGCAACACAAAAATTATGTTATTTTACTAAAATGTTGGCCAAGGACAAATCAAACAATTGTTGGACTGGCAGGAAATTATCTCGGTGGTCTTCAACAGAACACAGTCTTCGTGTGAGCGGGGACTTCTTACTACAACCCATTCAGCGACTACGATTGGAGAGGTCCAACATTCGGACCACGGCTGTCTACTTTAGGGCTAAATAAACCTGAAACGCTCTTCTCATGAAAAATGTCGTTGCTGAATTGACAGTAGTTGTGCGTTTATACTTACATCTCTCGCTTCAGATATGCTGCGCTTTATATGGTCATTAAAGTCGACATAATGTTGAGGATTGAAGGTCGATGAGACTGACCTAAGCAACTATTTATCGATTCCTTAATCACTTATTTAAAATGAAGAGAAGTATTCTTTGACTTAAGTGCTCCACATCACAGTTAGAAGCGCGCGAGAACAAGCCGAATGAAGAAAAAACGTGAACTGACGAACACTTTGTTGTGATTTCAACACTAACGAACAAAAGAATACGGTAGAAGAATCAATAAAGGCTAGTGTCATCAGATCTGCACCTACGGTATTTTCATCTGAATATGCAGAATAGCGTGAGAAGCAGAAGCAATGAAAATTGATATCGATTGAAATGATGCAACTATTGTAAAGCACACGCATTACCGAAAATCATGCAACAATCAATATTATCGAAAGAAAGACTCAAATATTAATCATTACCTGTTCATCAGTCTTTTTTGGAGTGGAATGTGCGGTTTGTGAACATTAACTGAGAAATACGCCTAAAGTGTCGTGCAATAAGTTTACAAAACTCAAAAATGGTTTATAAGAGAAAGGAACCCGCAAAAATCGATCATCAAATCAATAATCAATCACAAGCGCAGCCGCAAATGCTTATTGCCACGCACACACGACCACAGCTTCAGCCCAGAGTGCGTCACACGCTCCTGGGACGGACCTCAGGTGAGGTCCGAGGCAATACAGTGAGCGTCACACAGCTTCAATATCTCTAAGCCTAAGCCTTTAAAACACAGCGAATGGGATCCACTCAAGTCGGCAAATTATAGCAGAAGCACGGAAACATCAATGGCCGATTTGTTGGTTAGGATGTTGTTAAACCATAAACAGTCATAAACTCAAAAAATTTGATAACAGAGAAGTGAACTCAATGAGCAACTCATCAGATCTGCAGCAATTAAGTTCATTCGTATTGTTTTCACTAAGATCTACCATACACGCTACAATCTACACTTCAACAAAAAATGTCGTACGTCTTTTGCCTTCTAAACAGTCTGACGAAACTAACACAATAGTAATAATAAACTTTCTAACGAATAAACAACGTGAACCTACCGATTGAACCCACATACCTTTTCAAAATGATGTCGTAGATCTTTCCTTTTACCGAACATTGTATATATTGCCGTACGAAACTTCTTATTGAGGAAACAGTAAGTGATCGGATTCGCACACGATGAGATGTACGTCAAAAGAGTGATAAATGTGTTCACATCCGAATTCCATAGATCCAGCTCAAGACTCTGAAAAAAGAAGGGAAACGCTGAACAAAGGGTGAGTAAAGCTCTCGGTGTTGATCATTCCTTGAGGGATGCGCCATGCATTCTACTTCAGTAAGCATCGTTTGGAGGTGATTGAATGCAGATCTAACCTTTACAAGGACTCAGGATGAGCTACTAATGTATCCAGCCAGTGCTGCTATCCTCGCAGGGATCGGTTCCTCGTGTGTGTTGCAGGGCTCCTCTCACCATTGTGCCACATGAGCGCGGGGAACGGTAATAAAGGTAATAAAGGTTCTCGTCCACGGATCTCCCTCACATGAGGGATCTCGAGCCGGTTAGTCGCGAGGCCACGTGGCGCGTACCCAGGTCGCGGATAGGGGGTTAATCGCGCACCAAAAACGACCTTTGCTTCCCAGAGACGCAGGTGAATCCAGGGGATTGATTTTCTGTTTCTGCTGCGCTGATTTAGCACATACTTTCTGTATTTGCCAGGCGTATTCATTCATGCGTGAATGGGTGCGTTCTTGCTTATGAGGATTGTATTCTACGAATCATTTCGGCCAATAGACTGCACTCAAGTGACTGGGAAGTATATGGGAGCAATTAGGGGTCGCCTCCAACTTATTTGTTGTCCACTCTGGGAGAGCCTGGTAAGCTACCGGTGAGTATACCCAGCCTCAACGTTCAGAGACCAGCAATCTATATGTGGGCATCAAAAATACTAAACACAGTAAAAAAAAAACGGGCCTCATTCACCTGACCCCGAAAGAGCCCTCAATTTGGCAACGTTGGTTAGGACGAGTGCGGAGAGGCTGCTAAAATCTCAGGGCCAACGGAAGCTGCCTGGAATTCAAAGAACTATGGTGGCGACCTGTACCTACAATGCACGCACACTTGCATCCGGGTCCTCGTTAGTAAACTTGCTCACGCAAGTAAGAAAGATAAGGTACGACGTCATCGGGCTGGCCGAGACGAGAAGACGCCAGCCTTTCAAGGCCGTCTGTGACACCGGAGAAGAACTGCTCCTCGGAAAATGCGACAGTAAAGAAGTCGGCGGCGTCTGTGTTCTCGTCAACACGGGTTTGTCCATGAACGTCGATTCTTTCGAACAGCTTACAACCCGAATCGGACCTTTACGATTAAGAAGACGTGGATAAATTCCGGCTTTGACAATCTTCGTCGTTTACGCACCGACATCAAACTACGACGAAGATGAAGTCGAAGCGACCTATATGGAGTTGGAGAAGTTCTACAGAGAACAACACACATTCTTCAAGGTCATCAATGGAGATTTCAACGCCAAGAATGGACCAAGAACAACGTCTAAAGAACGACACATTGGAACACACTGATTAGAAAGGAACGAACAGGGTGAGCTGCTATCTGAGTTCATCATGGCGAACAAGACAATTCGTGGTAACTCACAATTCCAGAAACCCCACCCTCAACGCTGGACGTGGGAGTCTCCTAATGGGGACTACCACAACGAAGTAGATCACATCATAGTAAATAGAAGGTTTTGCTTAACCGATGTCGCTGTTGTCCCAAAGTTCTACACGGAATTAGAACATCGTCTCCTTTCGTGCAAGATTCTATTTATCGCGGAAAGAAGAAAAAGCCGCTAAATTCCAAAACCGAAGTCTGAGCAAACACCGCAAACTGGGACTTACTCAATTCACCAGACGACTGTTGGAAAGATGCCGTTGTCGCTAACATCGACGAGGAATACGTTCGGCTCATTCAACATCTTCACGCTAGCACTACGAAAGCTGAGTGTTCAAAGGTCACCAAGAAACGTTTGTCTCCAGAAACACTCCAGCTGATACGCCGACGTGGAATCGCACGAGCTGCAGGCAACCGCGAACTGTCGTCCGAACTTGTGAATCAATGCAAACAGGCAATAAGAGTAGATCTGAAAGAGAGAACAGCAGCAGCAATGATCGAAGCTGCAGAAGTATTCGCAAAGCCACCGAAGCTTCGCCAATTACAAGACCAAAACGATTGCTCTTCGGCGCCCGGACGGAACAGTTACAGCGTCCAGAAAGGAATGGAGAAAATCATTCACGAATGCTACTCGGATCTCTTCGATAGCCACGTCCACTTTCCGTCATATGAAATAAAGGAGGATGGATATGTTGTACCACTGGTTCTCCCTTCCGAAATCCGACATGCCATTTCGTCGGTGAAAATCGGACAGTGCCAGGTCCGGACAGCATAAGGCAAGAGCACCTGAAGAACATTCCGCCAGTCCTGGTAAACACACTGGCTCGGCTCTTTACACATTACCTGTCTGAATGCATGGTCTATACTCAATGGAAGACCAGTAAGACCGTGTTATTGCTCAAGAAGGGTGACCTGCACGATATCGGCAACTGTCGCCCAATCTGCTTCCTGTCCGCTGTCCACAAACTTTTCACTCGAGTCATTCTAAATAGGATTCACAGAACATTGAACAAAGGTCAGCCATGTGAGTTAGCAGGGTTTCGAAAAAGATTTAGTACGATGGACCACATCCATACTATAACGAGACTTATTGAAGTGTCGCAATAGGTGACCGCTCTATCTCACTTTCATCAATCTACAGAAGACCTTTGATTCAATTGAGATAGAAGCACTCATGGAAGCCCTTGATAGTCAAGGAGTCCCTACTCAGTACATAAAGATATCAGTATGGTATCAGTACATAAAGATTCTTCGTGAGCTGTACAAAAATTTCACAACCATGATATCACCATTCTACAAAGATTTTAACATCTACGTCAGAGAAGAGTTTAGAAAAGGCGATACCACCTCGCTGAAATTATTCACTGCTACCTTCGAAAACGTTATGGGAGCACTGCAATGGGATGACATGGGAGTGAAGATCGATGGTCGGCAGTTAAACCATCTTCGCTTTGACGATGACAAGCGTCCTTATAATACCAAACATTAGCCAAGCGCAACATTTGCTTGCCGACTTTGATAAAGCCTGAGCAAAGATTGGCCTTCGAATAAACCTCATAGAAACGATGTTCACGAATAACGGATTGGTTTCGCATGCCCTATTCACGCTCAAGGAACGAATGTCTCCGAATGCTCCAGTTATGTCTATCTCGGTCGGGAAATCAATATGATGAATAACTTAGCTCCAGAGTTGAGCAGGGAAAACGAGCGGTTTGGGGAGTTTTCAAGAGCGTCCAGGATGTAGTGAAGTGAACAAGGAACACCTGACTCCATGCCCACCTTTTCGACTCAACAGTATTTCCTGCCCTAACGTATGCATCAGAAACTTGGTCGCTGCGTAAGCAGGATGAAAGGTCACTCAGCGTTATCGAACGCGTAGTCGAAAGGACGACGCTAGGAGTATCCTGCTCCACGCAAATAAGGGATGGGATCCGATGTTCCCACCTGCGTCAACGATCAAAAATCAAAGATACCGTTCTGTATGCCAAACAGTGGAAGATAAGGTGGGCTGGACACTTAATGCGTATGAATGACAATCGATGGACAAGAGCCGTTAGAGACTGGATTCCTCGGGATGTCTAACGTACTGCGGCAAGACCACCGACCCGATGGTCAAAGTTCTTCACGAAGAGTCTAGAAGAAAAATACGAGGCTCGACGGGTCCCTAGAGCGAGCTGAACCCACTGGGCTACTCTTGCACGCGACTGCGGGAAATGGAAGATTTACTGGCGCCAGCCTGAGTCACTCGACGATCAACGGGACTACAGGTGATACAGATGAAATGTACTCGTAATTCACCATGAATAATGAAAGGCTTGAAATGGAGTTTTAACGACTAGAGAGCTTCCTGAAGAGCTTGGTGTGAATAAAAGAGCACTGCCAAAACAAAAGTGCAGAGCGAATGAATTTCCGCCAATATTTCCACGAATTCGAACTTAAATGGAACGGCACGAAAATATGTCGCAAAATTAGCAGTGCTTTCGGTGGGCGTATGGTTTGTTGTCCACAATATGAGGCGTATTCCGAAGATTTTATAAAAGAGAAAGCGCTGAGGATTAGAAGAAATCGAAATATGTTACCGTCACGTACGAGAAGCATATGAAGGCGCTATTCTAAAGCAAATCGTTGAAAAACTTCGAAAGAGTGCGGAAATGCGGAATAGTATGGAGCAGCTTCGGAAAATCCCAATCAAGCTGGAGGGCAGGAAAAACTCGCTAAATGAGCGTTGGATGGAAAAAACAGAAAGTAAGCCGATCGTCGTTATGACGTCTGTTCAGCATTTACTTCTTTTCAAAAGGAACGACCCGTTTCTTAACAGCAGTGTGACATTCTGTACAATAAATGACAACAATCTACCCACTGAATGAACAGTAATGCATACAGGAAAAATTCCCTGGTTCAAAATTGCATCGGAAGAAGTTTACGAATAGTTTTGCATAATTAGAACCGGAAATCATTCATTGTTAGTTTTCTCACATCATTTTCGAACATCACATCGCAGGACGAACTCACCAGAATCTCGAGTACATTGCTGTCTTATGAAACTCCCCTTTATGAGTCGAAAGTGAAGAAGAGTCACTAATCTCCAGAAAACGTGACACTCTTGTGAGTTAAAATCAGAAAAATGTTGAGACATTAGCAAAAGCTGGACCCCGGGCCAGATGGAACCACGATTTCCCTTTCCTGGCAGCCGCGCACTGCGCTACGAAGACACTTGCTCTGAGCTACTCTCGGCTAGTTTTCTATCTACAAGTGCCGTCAGCAGTCATCCGCCAACAGGATTGATTTGGGCAGCTCTCGTCTGAATTAAGCCCTGTGAGGCTGAAGCTCCAGTTTAAACTACAATGTTTACTTTTTTATTTACTGCTTACTACCGCGAAAAGGGAAATCGTGGTCCGATCTGGCCCGAGCTCCAAGTTTTATGAATATCTCAGCACCGTTGTGGTTGTCCTCCTAATGGTTTACCGCCTCATCTTGGCTGGGAGCTGTTCCTGGGTATCGACTGCGATGTGCAGCGGGGGATTCATCCCTGACAGGATCTCCCAAGCTAAGAAGGAGTCCGGTTCCATTAGGAAGCCGAGCTAAGAGTAAGCCAATACCAGGATTCACCACTGTGTTCATATCAAAGGAGTCGCATGGTGACAAATTTCTCTATGGTCCATAAAGTTGGCGACTGTTTGTAGTGGTGACGACCTGGAGTAGACCTTAGCCAGGCTGATCTCAGGACGCCAGGAGTAGCACAGTGGCTAGACTAGCAAAACTCCGAAAAATGGAGGTTATTCTTCGGCCCTACACAAGCAATGAAGAGGGGCCATCCAAGTATCAAGTAAGAAAGTAAGTTGTCGTTGTAATTCACATCATACCTTGCCGTGAAAAATTATAGTAAGCAAAAAATGAAAGGTTAACATCCTTATGAACTATCAATGATTTGCGAGTTATCCTTATCAATCAATCAATGGTTAGAAAGGAAAAATAACTCAGCCTAACTACCGCGTAAAGTAGTGATGTAAACTCCTACGAATATTATGTGCAGAACGTTCAATGACCAGCTGAGCAAAATAACGTCGATATGAGATGCTTGAAAAATTCAGAACAGAATGGAAATAATTTTCATTCATCCTCACTTCAAATGAATCGCCAGCCATTAACAGTAACCACCAGATGTAGGATGGCGTCCAGCAGCAGAAAAAAATAATCACAACAACTATCAACATTCTAAAATAAGGGCTTTGACTTGTAGATGTACATAAGAGGATAGAATTTTCAACTTCCCACCTAATTACTCGCTGCTTCGCGAGCGCACTTTTCTGGATGTGTGTCGATCGCAAAGTGTTCTCCACTTGCAGAGCCTCGCTCTTCTTATGGACAGTGTTTTCTCTGAAAAGTCCAGCAATATTGTGAGCTCGCCACATAGGATACATTCCACATATTTGAGATCGCCAGCGAAAGACTGAAAACTGTCCATGAATATGTATTCTTTCTTTGATGAGCATACACCTGTATCACCTGTAGTCCCGTTGATCGTCGAGTTACTCGAGCGGGCGCCAGTAAACCTTCCATTTTTCCCAGTCGCGTGCAAGAGTAACCCAGTGGGTTTTACTCGCTATAAGCACTCGTCGAGCATCATATTTTTTTTCTAGGCTCTTCGTGAAGAATTCTGACCATCGGGTCGGTGGCCTTCTTGCAGTACACTTGACACCCCAAGAAATCCAGTCACTAACAGCTCTTGTCCATCGGTTGTCATTCATAAGCACTACGTGTCCGGCCCACCTTGTCTTCCATTGTTTGGCGTATAGAACGGCATCTTTGATTTTTGATCGTTGACGCATATCGGAGCTTCGGATCCCATCCTTTGCTTGTCTGAAACAGAATACTCCTAGCATCGTCCTTTCGACAGCGTGTTCGATAACGTTGAGTGATCTTTCATCCTGCTTACGCAGCGACCAGGTTTCTGACGTATATGTTAGGACAGGAGCTACCGTTAAGTCGAAAAGGTGGGCACGGAGTCGGGTGTTCTTTGTTCTCTTCACTACATCCTCGATGCTCCTGAAAGCACCGCAAGCCGCTCGATTCATTCTGCTCAACTCTGGAGCTAAGTCGTTCATCATATTGATTTCCCGACCGAGGTAGACATAACTGGAGCATTCGGAGATATTCGTTGCGTTGACCGTGAATGGCTCATGCAAAACCAATCCGTTCTTCATGAACATCGTTTTTGTGAGATTTAGTCGAAGACCAATCTTTCCACAGGCTTTATCAAAGACGACAAGCATACGTTCCGCTTGGCTAATGTTTGGTGTTATAAGGACGATGTCATCAGTAAAGCGAAGATGGTGTAATTGCCGGCCATCGATTTTCGTTCCCATATTATGACATTCCAATGTTCGCATGACGTTCTGGAGAGTAGCGGTAAATAATTTTGGCGAGATGGAATCGCCTTGCCTAACTCATCTTTTGACGTCAATGTTAACATCGCTGTAGAATGGTGAAACCTTGGTTGTGAAATTTTTGCACAGCTCACGAAGAATCTTTATGTACTGAGTAGGGACTCCTTAAATAAATAGATCATCAAGCTCATCAACGAAGGAATACACGTTGATTAGTCAGTTAAACGAAAGTCGGTTTCGAAATATTGCTGTCCATGAAGTTGGAAAACCGATTCCAGAGATTGAATACGACTGAGTAAGGAGATTATGTTGCGAAATATAACTCGTATGAAATGCTGAGATATTTGCAAAACTCTGGACCACATGTGTATGCAATGGAGAACGAACACGCGCTGTTGTCCTTACCGGGGAGCAGCGCACTTCACCACTACACCATCCGGGTCC